TACTGCGTGGCCTGGTTCTCGAGAAGCACGCTCCACCCGGACGCGACAGCGGTGTCCGTGCCGTGGCCGAGTTTGACTCGCGTAACTTTTCTTGAACGATGACCTAGCTTCCCTTCCCTGGTACAACAAACAGTTGAAGGCGAAAGCTCGCAGCGAGCACTGATGATATTCCCAACACATCTTCATTGGCGACAAATAGAAAAAAATAAAATTTTCTTTTGTAGGCGATAACTTCTAACCGTTATTTGCTCCGAAAAATTTAAAGAAATGATCGAAGAAGCTAAAGATATATCAGAGGAGATACCTCGAACTCCTGAGAGAGTTAGAAAGCAAATTATTGGCAATGTTGCGAAGGCATGGCTGATTCTCCAGAGATTGGCATTGCTTCATAAAATCTAGTGGCCGATTCTGTAATTAATACCCCCACTCTAACCGTATTTCTTCAATCCATCGTTCAAGAAAAGTTACGCGAGTAGTTCCTGGTTGTGTCTCCGCATCCACCTAACGGAGTGGGAGCGGCGCGCGGAGACGATTGTCCGATGGTTTTCATGGCAGGAACGACCGTTTAGGGTGCACGCGTTTGCGGTGGCACAACTCGTACGCGATACTCGTCTGGAGATTTAGCAGACGATAGAAGTTGAGCCGGGCCGCGTGCACAAATCCCCACCCGGTCCGGAGGCAGTAGAAAGTTTCCTCCCTGCCCCTCCAGAGCCGACGCAAAGATGCGCTACTGACGCAGCGCCCGCCATAAGCGCCCGCACGCCGCCTGGTAATGACTGCGCAAGCGAGACGAGCCGCCCCGGGATTTGGTCGTAATGCGACTCTTCGCACAGAGGTCGCATCCAGCGCCTTGGCCCGCCGCCCTTCGCCCCCCCCCTCGCGTAAGACGACCCCGCATCGTTGCCCTGTGTTCAGGCGGCGAAATAGTCGAAGAAACGTTGGGAGAGCATTGTTGATGGAAATGGCAATGGAACATCGTCTCTTGTATCACAGTTGTTTTTGTCAGACAAGAGTGTTCTGGAAAAGAGATGACACACAATTGACAAGGATTATTACTTGGAGAAAGAATTAACGAGCATTGAAGAAGTTGTCACAGTTACCTCTGTCCAAACGAAAACTCTTTCCTTACGAAATTCCGTGGCCTTTAGTACGTGTTTCTACTACATCCGGTGCCTGGCACACTCTGGGTCGAACCTTGAAGACGTTCAAAACGCTTTTACTCAGCTTTCCGCATTAGCTTGTCGTAACAAGGCGAGCCGGCGTCTGCGATAGAAAACTCATTTCGACAATGCCAATTTTTAGCGGGAATTTTTACCCATCCAGGAGCTGGTGCGATCTTTTGGTTACGCTCCGAACTAATAGAAAGAAGTTGATCATCGACTCCAAGGACTTTGCATGAAGAAATGAATGTTTGGTCGGCAGAGAAGAAATTCGCGCGGCTTTTTGGAGAAAATTAAGAGATAAATTATCTCGGAGGCGCCAAGTTTAAAATGTATAATCTTTTCCTTTGAAACGCCTTCAAAGAACATCAAACGCCCTGTTAAAGAAGACAAGGCGCCAAATTCGAAGTAATTTGGCCGGCAATGTGTCAACACCCTGCATCATACGGAGTGGGAGGTCATTTGCTCCCCGCTGTTGTGAGCGGCGCGAAAGCCGACGGAGAGTAATGATCTCCGTCCGCCAGAGGCTTGGGAAGTCGTCGGGTGAGGGGAGCCACTCGGGCTTTAGGTGGCGTGAGGCTGCCGACTCGAAACCAGGAGGCAGCTCTGTTTCCTCCCCACTGCTGCGCCCGTCAGGTGCCCCCACACGCGCGCCTCCGCCGGCGCAACCCACTGCCGAGGTCTCCTGGACGAGGTGCGCAAGCGTAGTGTGGCGCAAATGGGCATCTCGGAGGGTTAAGAGTTTGTAAGCCGAATCAGCACTTCAGATATCGCATTCCAAACGTACCTCGTGGATTCCTGTCCCCTTCATCCTTTAATGCATAAATGAATGCATTCTTGGCCCCGCTGGAGAGCGAAAGGAACTCGCGTGCTTAAGCTCGTCCTTCTTGTTATATTCAGCTACTATCCGCTTCTCATACCTGCCCATGCGCACGGTGAAACGGAGGCGTCAGGATACACTGTTCGAATGCATCCACCTTCTAGGACTGTCGTGGAAATATCTGCGAGTATCTCTTGCTCTTTGAGCCCTTCCTAGGACTCGACTAGGTTGAAGCCTACAGGGTCCGTGCTGCCTCGCCTTAACTCGAGTAGCAGCAGGCCCGCCCCTCCGGCACGAAACGGCGTTCGAACGCGCCGTCATGCTACGTCACCAGGGTACGGCATTTTCCGTTCTTTACTCTGAGGTTAAGCCGCTGCAGGACTTCTCCCGCCGTGTTAGTATCAGCAGCTTCACATTAGGAATACCGCATTGAAATGTTTTACATCTTTATTAATATAAGCATTCACGCGGAAGCAAGACCTTTTGAAAACCTATCGTTTTTATGTTTGAAAATATTTCAAACATACAACAACTTACTTTTTACGAATGTCGGAATGTTTTTACACCGTTGAATAATACTTAGGCGGATCGACGTCCCATCCCGTAGACTGGGTATTCTCTGAAAACTTATTCTGTCATAAATAAAATGGTTGATCTGCGGTGACTATTTAGTGAATCAGCTATTTTACAACAATAATATTTACATAATTTATTGATTTAAGTATTTACTTAATCCAATTGCCATTTTAATCACAAATGTTGCTTTTCTGGTGTTATTTCTGTTGGCTTGCCATTCGATCAAAATATTAATTACTTTCTTCACTAAGATCTTTTTTAAAATGCCTATCTGATTGATGTTCGCCCTGCTAAAACTTCGATATTTTCCGCGGCGCTAACAATTTGTGAAGAAGTTATACTCTTTGACTGCCTTGCTGCTGAAGAGAACTGTTCCAACAGAGAATCTTGAAGTCCACCTGTAATCTTCTGTTCCCAGATCTTGAAGTTAAGATTGAAAATTACTAAAACCTGGCACAATGTCCATTTCTTCCTCAATTTTGTTATATGACGCGATCGCATAGAAATTTATATTATAAATTCAACCAGTTCCCAAATCATTAATGTATTTATTTTCTATTCAGAGTATCCATTGTTTACTTTCTATTACAGGCTCGAAGAGTCCTGAAACTCTTGTTGCAATATTTAAGTTTTATTTTCATATCCAATATGGCTACCATATGTCTTCTTTATAAATACTTTATACTCTTGATATTGTCATTTCCGAGTTCCTGTAATTTTTCCTGTTTTTCATTTTCAATCTTCACCAATTTTAACTCCTTTCTAGCTAATTCTGCTCTTTCTTACTTTTCGTTTCAATTTTAGGTAATTTTAGCCGTTCGGGGTCACATGCAAACGTAATATTGCATATAACTTACTCAGAATGTCCAAAGTAATCAGGAAATGCCTGAAGCTCACTTCGTCCGCCCCAAAAAAAGGGACGACACCGGAAGGCACTACATTGCTTCCCTCCCCCTCAAACCAGAATCGCCCACGTTAGGTAACTCAAGTTAGATGACCCAAAATCTTGGGACAAGCCTTGAAGAGATTTTTACGCTCTCGAGCGTAGATTTGAAAAGGATAGGACCTTTCCACAAGCTTGCCAAGAATTTATGCAGGAGTATTTTGTCATTTGCACCTCGCACTTGCTGATATATTCAACGATGCTTATTACATTCCCCATCACACAGTCTTAAAACCTCAAGCCAGCTCTACTGGATTCCGATTGTTGAATGCTGTTGTTCTGGATTTCGACTGTGTGAATGTTATATCACATTTGAATAAACTTAATGCAATCTATAACCAGTGAAATACTTTCCACAGACACTTTAATTTTTTAATCATTCAAGCGAGCCTGGGTGATGCTCTTTCCTTCTTTTTGGAAATACCTCTACAATAAAATCTAATGCCGAGAAGCATTCGGTTCTCATTAGAAATTTTTCCGGAAGAAAATCCAGGCAGAAGTGTGGAAGATTTTCCTTTTAAACTATGGAAGTATTTTACTGATTTTGGAGTCTAGGTAAACACATCATTTCACAACGGTACTCATCATGCACATATCATTTGCACGGCCTTCAATTCCATCGTGACCATAGCAAGCATGTTTCTGTGTGCTCAAGCATACATTCATCTGGGCCCAAGTACACAGGATGCACACACTAATACATATCCATTCAATTTTATGACACCTTACTTAACGTGTTGTGACTCGGGACATCAGGCTGAGCCATCTTGACTGACCACGCAAATTTAACATCGCTTCTTTCCCTATCTAGTAGAGAGGGAAGGCATTACTCAGGCAGCGAAACAATTTAGCTCAGAAGCTTCTTTCAGGCTTGGGGATCTTTTACATGCAGTAAATCCACAACATGGGACAGGCAGCTTTAATCCCCCAAAGGGCTCTTTCCACAGCATCAACTAGGATTGAACCCGCAAACTTGTGTACAACAGCACGATTCACTTATCTTTATACCACCAAACCGGCAAAGTTAAAATTTGTATTTTAACAATTAACATTTAATTTAAATACTTGAATAATATGTGTACAAAAATTATATTTACATATAGTGGCATGTTTGTGGGCACATCCCATATGCTACAGATACATCATGCGCACTCCGTATATGTTTTGTATATCAACATGTACATCCTGGGTACATTAGCACATACATCCATTTTTGGGTGGAGGTACATCAACATAACACAACAATATTAAAAATTAATAATTTACTTTTTATAAAATTCCCAAAGATATACAAAAAATGACATAAGTAAAAAAGTAATTGCATTTAACATCCTGCCAACAATAAAGAACATCTTCACAATTAATCACGTTTTAGTACACTTTGGTTTTTTTCTCGTTTGACTAAAGTTACTTGAAAACTTAGCACCAATGAGTCATTCCACATCAAATTGCACACATTGAAGGAAAATTTGACCTTGATGTCTCATATTTTAAAATTTTTTTAAAATAAAAAATATGAATGTAATGTGAAAATCTGAAAAGAAAAAAAAAAGATGCTTTTAATTTTTTCACAAGGGCTGGTGGCTGGCCTAACTGCCTACATGATCATCTACCTGCCTATGTTTTTTAAATGTTACTTCTTTGTGTCCATTTTCAAATTTGGTACACAGATATAATATTAGTGTAGAATACACGAGTATTTAAAAAAGAACTAATTAAGTTTAAGTAACGAATGTGAAAATTTGTATTTCAAAAATTAAAAACTGTTTTTAAAAAAATAACATGTTTACAAAAATTACAATGATATCAAATGAAAAAAAATGTTTCTAGGTTTAATTAAGGTGTAATTGTATTTTTTTTGAGGAAAAAGATAAATGGGTGAAAAATGTTTAAACATTAGTGCATGAAAGATTCTTCTGAGGAAACAATTGTTAAAGAAGCGGGATTAGAAGAAAAAATATGTCCCACCAATTTTCATCTTTAGACCTCAAAAAATGTTTCAAGTCACTAAAACATTGTGATGTTTTGTGAGTGCATGATTTGACCTGGAATACTCCAATACTTACAAAAAATATCAATACAATTAATAAATTGAATTGACAAATTAATTTAATAATATTAAATTAATTAGATTTGCATGAAGCGAATAATTATCTCCAACATTTTCAGAAGATACCATCGCAACCTGAAAATGAAAAAGTAATTTAGAAGACACATACAGGGAGGTTCAGGACGTTATGAAAAGAGGCATAAGAATGAAGCACAAATATGCATTTCTGCATTCTACTTGATAAGACCAGATGCACATCTATCTAGAGTCCTTGGAAAATATCTGACTTGCCATAGGGAATAATCTATGCCAAAAGGTTCTCAGATGACATGAATTGATTTAAGTACAAAGTTCACTTCTTTGAATTTTTGTAGAATAACTTCACATTTCTGCGTTCTATCCTCAACTGACAAAATGCATGGAACATACAACTTATGTAACCTATTTGAGTATTAAATAACCCAATGTGTTTGTCTGATTCTCATTCAGAAAATTGGAACTGTATCCTTTGATTTACAACAAAAAAATATGTAGTTCTACAGAATTTTTTTTTCATAATGTTTTATTTGACTGTGCAATGTGACACATGCTGATTCACCTGCGTCATCAGGTGTACTGCACTAATGGAAAACCTACAATATTATAACCTCCATTTGGCAAATAGATTTCAAAACATCATCATCATCATCATCATCATCATCATCATCATCATCATCATCATCATGATTATTATTATTATTATTATTATTATTATTATTATTATTATTATTATTATTATTATTATTATTACAGGTTGGTAGAGTACCTGAGTGTGTTAATCTTAAGTGTATGTGTGTTAATGTAATAATCTCACAATCACGGAGCTTTATTGTGGGTCTTTATTAATTAACGAGCTATCCTCCATCTTGGAAAGGTCTTTGCCCTGTATGGGATTCCACTGGCTTTACTAAAATAGAGCACTACTACTTAGTTGCCGCGCGCCAAATGTGACTTGGGTTAGCTCCTGCGTTTCTTGATGTTTTCAACGGTTGAACACAGAGACTGGAATGCTAGGTTCAGGGAATCGAAACCCAGTGCTCCCACAGGCAGAGCGCGCCGTGAGGAACGTCAGAGGGGCAGATGGCCCTAAGAGGCCGGCTGCCAGCCGAGTGCACCGGACCGCCTTCAGCATTTGGAGAATCACCCGACTGCATCACGCTGCCACTTGCCTTTCTCCATTGCTTCCCAGCTAATCTCCTTCCACTTTTCGTAACCTGAGAAGGCATAGCCCGACTCTATACCATTTCCTTCATCCAGTGTTTTGGAAGAAAACGTTTTTGTTAAGTTTGCATTTATAGGCCGTGAATAAATGTCCTAGCACCAGTACAAAGAAACCTCGAACACAGGTGAACATAGCAGATTTTTCGGAATTGTGTACGTTAATTCAGCGAAGTAAGAAGATAGGTGATTTCATGTTTAGATTCCACAAACCTTTAAGCGGTGGTTTTCAACGTTGGCAGTGCTCTAAAATAGTGTAAATGTTTCTTGAAAACGGATAGAAGTGGATAAAATATAAGCACAGCAGGGGAAGCAGAACGTGATAGAATTGGGATATGTCTTTTTTGGGGAGATAGGTAATCAAGCTTGGAAAAACTTGACCGCGGGATGCAGTCAGTATTCGCCGACGCATCTGAGATATTCCGCAGAGAACGCCGCAAAGCGGCCAAGAGTGCGAAGGCAGCACAACCCTTAGACGGGGGTTTTGGATGCCAAGGTCATCATGCAACAGAACTTAAATTGAAACATCGATGTTGAAAATATATCGACAAAAAAATATAGATTTTTTAAAGCTTGTATAGTAATCCTCAGCACAACAAAATTTAATTTGACACTGGCCATCCTTATTAATTTACAATTAAGATTTCACTGAAATTGATGGAAATAAATGATAATCAACCTGTCATAGCCTGAAAACCTGATTACCCACATTATTTTATATTTTTACAAAATTGTGATTACAGAAATTTTTAACTCACATAAAAGACGTCGAAAACCCTAAAAACATCGGCTTTAATATACTGATGTTTGTATAAAAATATCGACATCGATATTACATTCCTATCCCAGTGATGGTCTCTGCAGCACCGCAATGCATCGGAGGAACATTCGCATTTGGTAGGGGGATGACCCCAAAAAAAGCTAAGAGACATGAAGCAGAAAGAAGCTCTTCTAGCAGAGTTCCATGCGGTTCTAAGCCAGATGCAATTCAAAGGTGGAGGATCGTCAGTATGGACATTGAAAGAAGAGTGGCTCAACTCAGAGAGACAATAGATGCTATGCACACGAACCGAAATACGAAAAATTCTGGAATGGAAAAGAATACGATTGCAAAGGAATGCACAGGCTTCTTTCGATGTTTAAGACAAGACAAGAAAGCTCATGACGCTAAACGACTACTTCGATAAAACTGATATAACGAATAGCCAAATGTACAAACAAGCTACAAATGAAAATACAAAACGCAGAAGAAGGAGCAGGTCCAAGTAATCAAGTGACCGGCAGGACTCCATCACCGCATACCAACTTGCTTCAAGCGTTGCATTTAGAAAAACCAAAGCAAGACATTTTATTCTCTTTAATATGATGAAGAAGAAAAGCCTCATGGATACAGTACCTTTTTTTCTTATTTTGAAGGCCTTGTACCAAATTTCATTAAAATTAGAACAAAAATGAAGATTTGTGTGAAAAATAAACACAAGAAAACAGAAAAATAAACAAAGTTAATAAAAATGTGGAAAAACAGTAGGTAAAGTTATCCTCATCCTTTAAACCTTTAGGAGAAAACTGTTTTGAAATGGAGTTCTGTAGTTCCAAAGATTCTGAACAAACAGACCAAATTGTGAAAACATATGACATGAAAATATGTAGTGATTTGACATTAAAACGGTTATGTATTTTGAAATCACTCCAATACATTTGTGTGTATTCTGTGTGTTGTCAAGTTGATGTCTCTCCAGGTTTAATTAATAAAGAATATTGTCCGTTTGAGTCTGTTTAAAGGTATGAAGAAATATAAAATGCGGTGTAATGTGCTGAATTTTTGCTTTTATGAATAAGAAAAACATCTGATCTAGATATCAAATACAACAATTCTTTTTTCTTGGAATTATTTAAATACTGTGAGGTTACACTATACATGTAATGCAAGCGCTCCTGTTACACATAAGCACAGCAAAATTGTCTTGTTTGATATGGGATGTCTATTTCCCAACTACATAAACTACATCTGAAAAGGAGAGTTTAATAATGAAAACTAATGTTAATAGAAAGTAACTTTTGGATACAACAAAATGTTCAAGAAACAATTCTAAATATGTTCAGATTTTACTTCGCAATGGATTTCAATATTTATTTCTCTACATTCAGCAAGTACGTTCACATAATGTATGCGTGAAACACACAATTTCCAAACATTTAAACAATTTTACGATCCATATTTTGCCTGATATCTAAATATGTATTATATTTCCGCAAATTGCTAGAGCCTCAGCATATTTTGCTAGAAAACATTTATCATTACTCATATTTCTGAACTATATTTCAATTTAATTTAATTTTGTAATTTGTGTTTCTATGTAAGTGGTTCATTGTAGCTAAAATTAATTGTGTGTTGTAATAAATAAGATATAATACAATTGTGTTACTGTATTCTGAGTATCTCAAGTATTTTAAATACGTATGTATTTTGCAAATCAAAACCTAATGTGGGTATATCTTTAAATACTTAATTATACAGTTTTTTGCCCAACCCGGAGTGCATATTTTCAAAGTTTTTACTGCATAAATGTATACATATTTAATTGATTATTAGTGCATATAAATCTGGGCTCTAGTTATTTCTGTTACAAATAAATTTGGTTTCTAAAACTCTCTACAATGATTAAAGATCACTTCAGTCCATGCACATTTATGAGATCTTGTCCCTTCTACCTACCAAAGCCGAGATGCATCAAAATTCATCATGTGGATGGAAGCTGTGTTTCTGAGACAGAACTTTTTCCACATATGAAATAATAAAAGCACTTGATTGGCTTTCTATTTCTTCTCCTATGTATGAGGGTGGGTTGTGTGGTTTGTATAAAACCACAGTAGGATATGCTCTCACACCAGCTTTTTGACATAACTGGATATATGAATCACAATTCACTTTACCAGTCCGAATCTTGCCTTCTAATTTCTGAAAATAATAAAACATATTGGTACTTAAGAGCAGAACAACACCTCAAATTTTCTAAATTTCTAAAAAACCTGATTGAGGCAGGAGTCTTTGAAGTTGAAGTACAGTGCTTGTTTCAGGCATATTTACACACTGTACCCTTCTTCTTTGTGCTTGACCACATGATGATGCCAGGTGTATCACAAGGGCACCTAAAGCAGCAGCAGCTTTTTCAATGAAGTCATTTTTCTTTGTTGCCATCAACTAGGAATGATTATTTAAGAAGGGGATAGAGTGGGACCAACTGAGCACTTCTGCCACACGTTTATGATGCCCAAATTACAAATTTCACCCTAATAAAATATTTCGAGAGTATATGTTTTGGACTGAAAAAAATTTAAAGTGTAGAACTGGAAGTAGGTATTCACTTTAGAGTGTCCATGAAAGCTCATACAGCACACATTGTCAAGCACAAAGAACTTTGGTACAATATACAGTTACCCAGAAGCAGTCTTAGGTATATTTATTTATTCATTGGAGTTTAGGGGCCCATTATTTCTAAGTTGTTGAGATCCGTGAGTGATGATGTAGGTGAAATGAAAGGGTGGTGGAGGAAATTCCTACTGGCCACAAGCAAATCGGTGTAACATAACATTTCTTATAATCAGTACCAATATTCTGTCTTTGCAGCTTTTTGTTATGTCACCATTAGTGAGTTTCGTTACAAGGAAAGGCGTAAGACAATAACGTAAATCCTAATGTAATAAGAATAACCCTAGGCTTCATCTGCGAATATATGACCACCCTGCATTTTTCAACTGAGATATTTAGGAAAAAAAAACGTCATCTTCTATTCAGGTAAATACAGTAATACCATGGGTTATCAGGTCATACTCATAAGGTCATAATACACTGTTAAAACTCCCCCAAAAGTGTCATTCACTCAAATGAATGTTTAATCTGATATACTACAAGAATATTATGGAATTTATAGTAAAGGTATTAATATTATGTTCAATTTTTTGGGGGGTAACTTCATATTTAGTATTCAAAGGGTGCGTAAGATATCGGTAATCCAAATGATTTAAAATCCCCAATTTCTTTGACACAATATACTATTAAGTTAAAGTTTAACATCTCAATTATATCAAGAGAATCAAATTACCTGAGAAACTTCTTGAAACTCAGGCAGAAATGCAGCACAGTGTCCACACCATGGTGCGTAAAAATCCAGCAACCACATGTCTTTGCTGCCATATATTTTATTCTGAAACTCAGTCGGTGTTATTTCTTCCACGGTTGTGGGAAGGAAATTATAAAGCCATTGCCTCAAGGTTCTGCCATCTCTTTGGTATCCACTGTAAATGCTTCAAAATAAGACAAGACGTTAAATTAATTTTATTTCTCTGTGGTTAAGTCTGTCTTAAGTCTAATCTTAAGTAATTAAGGATTTAGACAGCTGTATTGTAAAGAACTCTCTTCTTGAAGTAGAAAGAACCTATACCTGGAGTTTATAGGAGAGATTTAATACACATTTCTACCTTCATATATCTTCTTCATATTTGTTTGAAAATCATTTCAGCTCATACCTTACTAATATGGTTTGTTTCTTCCTACAATACATACAGTTTGTATTCAAATTTACAATAATTTCTTACTTACAGAAATTAAAGGAATCTTATACAACCATTTTCTTACCAAAAAAACTCCATTGTAGATTTGTTTGCATCCTTAATTAAGAAGTTGCTCTAACCAACAAAAAATATGTAATCCTTTTTTAAGTAAAAACGGATTACATCTTTTAAGTAAAAATTTAAAAGTGAAATTTAATTAATAAATATAACAAATTAAACACTTACGCAAAGGAAGACAATCCTTTAGATCCAGTTGGGTAGAGCCTAATTGTTGGATACGATCGTATACCTTGCTGATCACAAAGGCGAGTTTCTGCTTGGCAGTCCACTTCCCCCAGATGAACTTTAGAGAGATGAGCGACAGACTGCAAGTTGAAACACAATTCATTACAACGAGAAATATTTTCAAAAGTGAAGTACTAGCACAATTTCATAGCGCCTTTTGAAACTTGCTTTGGCAAGTTTTTTCCAATGGGGAGAGAGTTGTTGGCAAGGACCACACCAAGGTGCAAAAAAGTCCACCATCCAGATTTCTTCTGCAGGTTTTTCTCCAACTGTTTCATAGAAATTATCTTCAGTCAGCTTTATAACTGCAACAGAGATGAAAACGATACTCATCATCACTGGTACCTACTACAGAACAATTCCTTAGAAATTTGCCAAGGCCCCCTCTCTCATTATTATTAATTACCCTTTAATGCACATCTCTTTGCATCGCTGATGTTCATAGACCCATTGCGGCTAGCCACCATAGTAACCCATAGTAACACTTGGAACTGCTCTAGAGTTGAGAAGGAAGATGGTGGGGAGATGGTTTACAGACCATTGACAGTATTTCCCTCTCTCTGTTGGCAAGTGGACCACCAGCTTCTTATATCCCTAGCTACTCCTTACCAGTGCAGAGGAAGCGATGAGAATGAAGTGTTATTTCTTTATGTGGTTGGGAGAGGTTTAGAAATGCCCTGACCCTGTCACTACATAGAAGCTCCGTGCCCAATGCAGGATTTGAACCCTTGACCCTGTGACTGGAAACTACCAAGGCGGATCTGCCTTTGTGATCTTGGCTACCCAGGTGTAAATGTTTATGTTAAATAAAGTAATATATAACATAGAATATGCAATGAAAAATTATGACACTTACCGACTGGATGCAAAAAGCTGTCAACAAATTCCACCAAATCATCTGAAGTATGTCCTCCATAAAACTGATGTGAAACGCTGTTGTTGTACAAGATGGTGGTTGGATATGAACGAATATTATATTGTCGACATAGAGAAGCGTGCACAGTGCAGTCAACAGAACCAAACTTCACCTGAGAGGCAAAGTGATGACTAGCTTTGCGAAATTCTGGTAACAGGCGCATACAAGGTGGGCACCAGGGTGCATAAAAGTCTATTAGCCAAGGCTGTGTTGCACTGTCTGAAATAACGGCCAAACAAAAACATTTTACCAGGTTTGTCAAAATTTTCTCCAAACCCAAATACTCAGTCTTTTTGTTTTACAACTCACATTAAAAAACAAAAAAACTTGGAAAAATATAAAAATCTATTGAAATGTTTTAATGATCATTTAAAATATTTTGAATAAAATAACTTTTCCATAAATTTATAATAATAATTATAATATTTGTTGATTTTTTCCTCTTTCTACTTTTTGTCCACTTTCAGAAAATGTTACTATTTAAGCATTCCTGGACATGAAATTTAAAAAATATTATATTTTTGAAACAGAAATAAGAAATAAATCACAATACAGCAGTAGATTGGTGTAATTATATGAGAGATGTTTGTGCTAACAAATTAGTTAGAAATCCTTAAACAATTAAAGGTCCCAAAAGAAGTGGCGAAAAAGACAAAAGTTTATTGGCTTCGGAGGTTTAAGCAGAAAATCCAAATGTGTTTATTAGCAGTTAATAACACATCTGGACTACTTTCTTTTATCCATTATTTAACAAAATATTTCACTCAGAACAACTATTATCTCTTATGAATGGACAGCATCCTGAGAAATACATGAACTTAGAAATTTCTGGTATAACTACTTCTGATATATCGCTCACCATTTATTATCCCCAAAAATATTAGTTATAGTGACTCATATCTAATAATCAAAGGATCCAAATCTTTCATCTAGCAAACTGATATAGGAAAATCAGAAAAGCTCCCAATGATGTAATGATTTTTTTTATATTGCAAATAAAATAACAAATCTTATAATTTTATAAATTGAAATACTGATTGAAAATTCAAATTTAATCCCTACAAATGGTTGCAAACAAGAACTAACTGGTGATATAACAACAGGACATATTTTCTCACGCATTTCATAACTTGTTTAGACTTTACACGACATTCTGAATGATCTAGAATCCTTTTTAATTTACATATTTTTAATATTTTGGTGTAATCCCTGGGCTAAAAAGTTTGTTTGAGTCACAGCAAAATTTGTGTTAAGTGGGTTTGTGCTAATAGAAAATTTATTGGATGATGATCTCTTTTGCAGCAATATTTGTTTTCTTCTTCCTTTATGGCAGGAATTTATTTACCTCGACTATCAATCACAAATTGCTGAAATGTTTCCGGAGTAAGTACTCCCATATTCAATGCAGATCGACTCTCTTCAGCAAAGTTGGCGATATCATGAGCGGATTCCCGACCGTGGTACAATTCATAGCCACCTCCCGATTTGAAGACTGCAAAAACTGGATACCGGTTGATGTGCATCTGTTGGCATAACTTGACTTCTTGTCCGCAGTGAACTTTGCCTATGCGCATGTTTGAAGAGAGGAGTGCGGGGAGTTTCTTCAGCTCCAAGTCCTCATCGCTTGCCCCTCCCAGGTAGAAGTACACCAGCCACGAGAGCTTGGAGTCCAGAAGCAATTGGGCTTTCATTTCCTGCAAATAGAACAAGTAAGTGATGCAACATGAGTGTTGCCAAACCAATGTTAAAGATTTTTCACACAAAAACCATTGATGCTTTTAAACATTTAGGTTTTAAAGCTGATTTAATCATCTCTAGCATTAAATTAATGTGCAACAAAATTTAATTCTTTAGTGGCAATGTATATTATTTCATAATTAAAATTTTAACAGAAAATAAAGATGCAAAATGCCCTCCCATGGGCGAAATATGATGAATGAAGGAAATACAGTATCATCTTGGTTGAAGGATAATACTTGATAAACATAGATTGTTTGATAAAAGAGGGCTTGATAAAAGTAATACAAACTGCATTCATTTGGTTTGAACACAGACAGAACTCCATCAGTTATTATTTCATATTTTAACTTTCACAAAATTGTGATTATACAAATTTTCATCTACTAACACATTGAAGAACCAAAAACATTGAGGATAAAACATTGATATTCAAAAAAATATTGTTCAAAACATCAATGTTTCTATAAAAACATTAATATCAATGTCACATCCCTAGAACCAATATTTAAAGAAGAGGTTGACAACACTCACTCTACAAATATAATGTAGTGATCTGAAGCAAATGTTGTGCGTCAACAGGCAATACTTCAAGCATGAAATACGTTACGTGGGAAAGTTTAAATTAGTACAGTGCAAACAAATGTAAGTAATATAACTGCAATCCAAAGTTTAAAATAGAATTTTAATCTTTTAATTGTGTCACTTTAATTTCTTAGTTTCATTTATAGAAACATTATTGACAAAAAAGGCACTGACACTCTGTGAATGTAATTTGAGAAGTGCATGGAGTCAGTTGGATAATCCGAAGATCTCTTCCCATTGTGGGGACGTGATATAAAACGCTTCATAAAACCTTTTAATTGTCGAATTTGTTTTGATATTTGTTTTAAAATAATTATTTTTCATTCCTAATGGTCTCAGGTGTAATGGCTAGAGATAGGATTTCCATGCAAATGCACGTTTTTATTTAAGATTTTTAGAACTTCTAAACTTTGTAATTGTATTTTTCTTGTTTATTAATGTTACAGCCTGATGATGCGAGTAAAACTCAAACACCCAAAAGTTGCATGTGTGTTCTTCAAGAATAAAGAAAAAAAAAAGAGAGGATCAGCTTCAAGAAATATAAATATTGAATAAATAATGTTGACTACCTGTCATTAACAAGAAAGGCCACATTTCTGTATATAATAATATAAACAAAGGATGAGCAAATTTTTCTATTTTAATCTTATAAATGTATTGTACTTATAAACTATGTAGACAAGATCTTAAGCTCACGACTCTATTCATAATTGTTGTTGAATTGTATCTTGAAAAGAAAGATTACATTAATTCAGCAATAAATCTATTTTAAATTGTGCCACTTATTTGAGTTAAATGTGAAAAATAATTTATTATTTCCCTTTGCGCACGAAGGTGCGAGGATGTTGATTAATTTGTGTAAAACTAGTAGATTTGATGAATATAACAATATTACATTTAATTATTATATTTTTAAAACAATTTGCATTTTGTTGCTGGAATTTTAAGTTTTGCATTTCAACAGATGCATTGTATCAAGAATGTTCATTTGCAAAAAGTGTATGCTATGTGGGTCCAGGAGCCCTTGTTGCTTTGATGACACGGCACTAGCAACAGAAGGCAGTAGTGATGGTCATGGCTGGTTCATGTTATTATAAACTAATAATTGTATTTAGGGCTAAAATACGAGAGGGTGGGCATCATTGGTTTATTTATGTGGAATGTGAATACAACTGAATTCCATGTACACGTAGGCTTCCGCGGCTCGAGTCCATTACTTCTAGGCTGTCCAATCAGAGGGACCTCTCCGCCAATCACGGCGCACTTGCGTTACCCGACCACTAGCTGAATAAGATATAACACCGGAGGCGGAGCTTTACTATGTCAGTACCCTGAAGAAGCCTGCGACATGACAGGCGAAACGTCGGCCTATCTGCCAACGACGCGGCGTCACCCGGACAGCCAAGAAGTAACTGAATTCCATGGCAGAAAGATGTTTTTATTGAAGTATATGAATTAAAAAAAATATAAGTATTTATCGCACTTTGTTAAAGAATTTTTCAAATGGTAGTTGAAGTGTAAGATAGAAATTGTCACAATATAATATTACATAACCATGATCAATAATGTAAGAAAGTACATGCTAATGTAAGAAAGTAGCACCACTAGTTCTTGAGTATTATGCCATTTACTTACTGTATTTGTATTGTGTTGGTAGTGGAGCGAGCATTAAGCCTACGAAGGCATAAAGAATCCCCAAGGGGCCCTCAAGACTATACATCATATTATAACATGTTTTCTTTCATGTCTATAAACACACAGTAATGATGTAAATCAGAAAATTTGAACCCTTGTTTACGACAGAGATGATATTCACTGACACACACATTGCAGTTATATATTGTTTATCACATTTGATTACCAAAGAAAACAGCAAGGTAATATGTTAAGTGAAAATGTAGGTTTCCATGGCTGGAATGTTACTTTGCCCTAAGAAGGTCAATTTATGATGACCTCCTCAGTTGAAAGGAACATTGGCAAGTGAACCTAGGTCATGGTGTCTCCCAGACAGCCAAGAATTCAATTCAATAAGTAATGATTTAGGCTTATCAAGCTTTCATAGTTTGCATGTGTTGATACTTGCAGTTTATATAATTTTAAAAAATTCTGATGGATGCTATATCCACATAGCAAGAATAAAACACATTCAAATTACCAGCTTTGCCATTTCAACATGTTAATTTATGTACTTCAATTTTCACTACACACTGAATCTATCTTTATATTATATAAACATATATGTTTATATATTTTTACCTCAAATTGCTGAGAATTTAGAGCTTTCGCCTCCGGCAAGAAGGATAATATTTGATGAGCTATATCTTTGAAATCAGTATTTGTTATTTTGTGTATTGTTCCTTCATCATTTAATCCAGAATCCTCCCAGAAAACAACATTTGCATCTCCACCAATGTGTGTACACAGCTTCATTTCTTTCATACAGTCGACCACACCAACATTCACCAAACCTTCCTGAAACACCAGGAGACATCAATTAAAAACAAAAAAACAAAAAAAACCAACAAAAATCGCACATCTCTCTAATTTATATTTTCTTAAGAAAATACATAAAACTACAAAACAAAACATCATGTAATGTTAGTTTCTATAGGTAATGCAGTTATTGTTTCAGTTGATGTCCATCATCCCCCTCTCTCTTAAAATGGTAATTCCAGTGATCAAAGATATGGTTGCTTGTGATGATTGGTACTAAGACTTTAAATGCACTAATTATGAATTGATCTCTCATTCATTACACAATCTGTATTTATATTAGAAAGACAGTGACTTGATATGTAACAACCTTACAACAACATTTTTATTTTTATTGATCTCAGATCATAGATCTACATGTACTGAAAAAGAAAAAGGTTAGATCAAACTTTCCTTCATAGTTTAGTTGAGAGCTCAAACATTCAATGAATCGCAAAAAAGTAGCCCACAGACATTATAAGCAAACAGTCCCCGTTATATTATACTCTTTTTTTCAAATCTTAGATATAAATGTAAACTCTTAGCTGACAGAGATTTTGAAAACTACATCACTAAACTTCAGGAATTTGTTATGTCGAGGCCTAAAAACTTTTGGAGATATATAAATTTCAAAAAAATCTGAGAATAGCTTATGTAATGTAGAGCATCTTAATTCTAATACACATCCCATTGAAGGCATGCAATCTATTGGCAATGCATTTGCTGAATATCTTTCTACTTTTAATAGACCACCTGACAATCAGATTGGTGATATTTTGCTGCCTGACAAAACACCATTGCACATAAATACTGCAGATTTCTCTCTCTCTGATATACTTGTTAAAATAACTACTTTAGATGCCAACAGAGGTGCAGGCTCAAATAGGGTAACTCGCAACTTTTTGATAAACTCAAGCAGGCTTTTCCCACAGAATGGAAGTTCCCATTTTTAATCGGGAACAGGAACAATATTGCTAATTATCATTCAATCTCTTTCCTTAGCACCACACGGAAACTTTTTGAATCCATTGTGACTGACAAATTGGAAGGAATGCTTTATCCTTATCTCTCGCTTAGACAATTTAGATGAGTAGAAGGACCATTGAAGCGAACTTTGCTTAATAGCTACTTAACACTTAACAGCTATGTGACTCTTAAGAAAATAAATATTCAGTGAACAGTATTTATACTCTTTTATACCAAGCATTCGGTATATCTGGATCCTTTCTCTTGTGGTTTACAAATTATAACTAGGGTTCAATTTCTGAAATACAAGAATTGTACTCAGGACTATTTCACGATTCCGTGACGAGTCTCTCAAGGATCTTATCTGTGTCCACTTTTGTCTTTTTTAAATTTTATTAATAATGTTAATTTAATTCTCAACAATGTTGAATTTTTAATTTTTGCTGATGACTTACAACTGTTCAAAGTTGTTGCTGGATCAGATGATGATAAAATGTTGCAGTGTGTTCTCAGTCTCTTTGCTAGGTGGTGCTTTGATAAGGACTTAAATTTAAATCCTGCAAAATGTGAATGCATTACGCTCTTGTGGTCTAAATGACCTGCTGAGTATGAGAACCATTTTAGAAATCAAAAATTCATCATGGAGAGGATTCGTCTCCTCTGTCAATTGCCATGCACCACCATGTCTGGCATGGAGGAAGTTACGGTAAATCAAGAGATATTCTTCCCCAAACTCAGTACTAGGTCATCTTACGAATGTAGAGATGATTACAATACCTCATGTGGCATGCTCATATTCGCAAACTACAAACTATGTCTCCCCTTTAATCTTCTTCGTATACTGAGTGGTACGTCATGGGGAGCTGACCACATTACCCTATTGCAGCTATATAAAGCACTCATCCGCTCAGTTTTGGATTATGGTAGTGAAGTGTATAGCTCTGCAGCTCCCTCCACTCACCGACCCATCAATGACATACCGCACCTCCAATAGAAAAGTGACACAAGTGCGAATTTCTGATTTCTCAGAAATTGCAGTTTTAAGTTTTGTAGTTCTGTAATACTCTTGTATAGATTGTACCAAATATTCACCTTCTAGCGGACAGTAATTGAACTAATTCAAAATCAACTTCAGAATAGTAGCAGTACCTCTTGATGATCTCTTATCAGCTTTCAGCTGAAAAATGACGATTTCGCACTTGTGTCACTTTTCTATTGGAGGGGCGATACACCATGTAGGTGTTCGCTCCTCACCAGGTGCCCCCTGGACACGTGTTCATTTGATCATCTTTTCCTTTTGCATTATCAGTATATTTTAGGCGGAAATTAAGCCTTCTTTTTAGGTTATGTACATGCTTTTAATCAAGGGGTAAGTTGCATCTGCAACACTCTTACTAAATCTATTTAAGTTTTTAAAAATACTTTGCCATGGCCACCAGTGGCACTCAGTAGTTGAAGCACGCTCTAAACCCCAATCAATTACTGCAACTCTATATAAAGGTAATCAAAAAGGCTGTTAGATCATGGCTATCTATATCTAATAAAGAACTAAGTATATTATTTAAATTTCATAGCTCTCTTCCTGAGACACTTCCGTACTAACGGAAAGCTCTCATACCCCTTTAGGAATACGTGAAACACACACACACACACGCGCGTGTTTTAAAACCATCCCACATTATTTACAATCGACACTCCTGGCAGTCACTGCCCACTGCGTCAATTGCTAGCGATAGGCCCAAGACCGTTAAGGGCATTCGAACGTGTGACCAAATGTCTCAAATCTTGTCTAAGGTTTTTTGTAAGACTTATTGATTTTTGATGCTATTTTATTTACGTTAATGATATTAAGGCGATAATCTGAGTGCGATGTTTTCCAGTCTCCATCAGGAAGATTTCCAGCCTTCCTAAATGGTAAGCGTGTGTAAGATGGGGCACCAAGATGGGGTCATCGTGTGCATAAATGTTAGTCGTTTGATCTAAGGGAGGGTTTCAGTCACACCAGCGCCTTCTTACGGGCACTGACCGATTTTCAGTAGTTCGAGTTCCACCACGGGGCAAAGGAGTGTCAAGTTTACTGATCGATTTGGGGATTGCAATATTAGCATCTTGTAGTACAGCTCTATTAAAATCTATGTCTTTTAAGTTGCTCTTTGAGAAATTTTAGCCAGTCAGTACGTTGTACACTCATTGAGGGAGGGACCTAGTCCGTCCATGTTGACGATAGTGGGGTAATGGTCGCTTACATACAGTTAATTTACCGTGGACCATTCCAGAACGGTGCAAGTAAAGGGGGTGCATAAAGATATAACAATGCATGTGCTCGAGTTTGTCGCTGTGGCGAAGTGAGTTGGTTCACCAGAATTCAGAGTAACCGAGTTCGGGGTGTCAATTACCGATTCCAATATGTCGCCTCTCGGACGTGATGGAAGAGCCCCATAGCGGACTGTGGGCATTTACATCCCTGACTATCAAGATTGATGAGGGCAGTGGTTTATCGAACCCAAAAGTTCATCGGCCGATACACTGTGACCTGGAGGGATGTAGATGTTACAGACAGCGAGAATGAGGGAAGGCAGGTACCACCTGCACACTCACTGTGTGAAGGTCTGAAGAATACCTCTGTATTCAGCAGCGAATCGTGAACCAATGAAGCCACTCCACCATGAGCACGGAGACCATCATCAACATCGAATCTGTAAGGAAAAATCACGAAGAGACAGGGGCCGTAGTGGGATGACGTGTGTTTCTTGTAAAGAGATTATCTGAGGGACAACTACAGTTTTAGATCGTTCCGTCAAAAGGAAAAAACATTCATACTCCATGACAGATGAGCCATGGTAGTATTAGGTAATTATTTTTCTTCTTTCGGCGTTGTGTTCCGAATGGACGCGTTTTCTCCAAAGCAGAATCCTTCTGGGCAGTGTCAGGAGGGGAGGGGGTTCGATGCTCGCTCACTGAGTATCCGAAAGTGTAAATGATTGGGGAGTTGATGACGAGCAGTTAGTAATCGGGTCCAAGACGGATACCCGACATCTTATTTCTATCAGATGTTTAGATATAGAAGATTTGGTAGATTGTGATGGTTGGGCTTCTTTGACAGGTTTCTTAAATTTGGTTGGGACGATCACTCTCCCGCTTGCAGGGGTGCGGTATCCACAGGGAGGTCCACTGGGAACTCCTGACACTTGGGGGAAACTTCGTTTGGTTTAGTAGCTCTCTGCTACCTTCGGGATGTTTGCTTTCACAAGGTACCTTGCCTGGTACCTACGTTTGGTCTCAGGGAAGGACACCTTATCAGCGACTCTGATCAAGATCTCCCTCTCCTCTCTCTACTTTACTAAGGTAGGGCACTGGTTGGAGTTGACCGAATGGTCACCTTCGCAATTAACACAATGTGGTGTAGCATAGGGTTCTGCTTCATGCATAGATTTTCCCCACTTTCCGCACACCGGGCCTTCTGCCATGCATCTTTGCTGCATAAGGCTGAACCTTTTTCACTTAAAGCAGCGCAGAAGCTTAGGCAAATATTGCCGTAAACTGAGGTTATAAAACTCTCTGGGAGTAATAGAAGATTGAATGTCAGAATCGGAGAAAGGGTGGGGATTACTCGTCCGTGCTCTTTCTCCTTGATCCTGTAAACGTCGGTCTCACCTTGGCTCTTAAAAAAGCGAGACTAACTCTTCCTCACTCTCTGCAACAAAATCCTTGTAGTTGACCATCCTCTTGTAAAGGTTAAGTGTTGAGTGGGTGGTCATTTCCTCCTGGAGGCGGACAATCTGCAAGGTTTTCCGATTGTTTTTGATGTGCAGGTGAGTGCTTCAAAGAGTATCATTCCTTTGTCGCACCACAGCTTTGAGTTTCCCATATGCTTCACCTATAGTGCGCGTCACACGGACAGTACTAGCGGTTTTGAAAGATTGTCCTTCCTCGGCGCCTGCCGTGAAGAGGAAACAAGGCTTCTTTGGCGTATCTCCATCCTTTAAAATAAGGCATTCAAATCAACGATTCGCCTCGGACATATCTTCCTTGTGGAAGAGGGCGGGGGTGATTTGGTATCCATATGATGGATAGTAATTCATCTCCATTCTCCCCACCCACCACAGAGTCCAATAAGATGACAATCCACTGGGATGCCAGGGTTGACACGGAGACACAGTGGTGAGATAATACAGCGCTCTTCGCCTTAGCTATCTCTGCTTACCCTGGAGTTCTACCAAAAACCTAGTCCGAGCCGATTGATCGGGAGTGGGCTAGCTCCCGACCGTACGTCTAGAAGAGGCAGGGGCCAAAGAAAGTGTGTTGGGACCTCCTCTCAGTCACCAGGGTTCACCGGTGTTCGCACAGCGGGCAAGGCTAGAACGTATCTACCCATAACGAACCAGCATCAAGGCGACATTGCGGAGCGCATACACACTGGTCACTCAACTCCCAGGTCACCCATTCCTTTCAATAGGGTCGCCATGCACGGCAAATACGTGGGTGGGCGTTCAGCATACAGAGAAGGCCAGCGAGAAAGAAAAAAGAGTGAAAAAGGGTGGACACAAATGAAAAACAGGAAGATGATAGATAGAGAAAGGAATATATAAGAGCCTTCTCTGCATTGAAGACATTTGGTGTTTAGTGGACACGTGAAGTTCAAGATTTGTTATCAAACATTTTATTTCAATGTTTGAAATTTGGTTTTACTTTCACTTGAACATATCCTAGAAACTACCGTTCTCCCTTTCTCCTATTCTGATTCATGTAGTAAAAGATTCCTTCTTCCTGAGGCACACGCACTTCCCATACGGGACGTGATTCTCACAACCAACGCGTAAATAAATTTCTGGTGGCGAACTTTGACCTCTCCGGTTTTCCCTGTCAGAGACCTGTTAGAGTAATAGGGTGGCAGCCGACCTGTCGTAGAAAGCTAATGTTTACGCAAAAGGGTGTGTGTGCATGTAAACGCACAATGGAGGAAGAACAGGAACAACCCTCAGTGGCGCCCAGCGCGTGGGCATTTGCGAGAAGGAAAACTCAGAAATCGGAGTACATTTCCTCATTAAGTATGAATACTTGGAGTAAAATTCATTTATTGATTGATTAGTGATTCCGGGTTCGTCAACAGCTTATGTCATTAGTCCCGTAAGTATAGTGTATTTTTAATCGTGGGAGATGGCGGTGATCTTCCCACGCTAGACGGCGAGATTCGCCCTTGACTTACGTCGACATATCGATTAAAATTAAGGGAAGGTTCTAGATTCCAATTTCCCCACCCTCATAGTGTACTGAACTACCATCGTTTATGACGGAACACCTCCATAGAGTTTCGACCGCTCGTATAAGTTGTTTTGGCTGCATCTCTTTGTAAACATATTGTTACACTATGGTTGTGACATACAATAGAGGATCATCAATCAAAACACTTTAGTCTTATGTAACTTCTGCTCAACATAAAAAAAATCTTTCAAAATGAAAATATTATTAATGTTTTTAAAATTGTCTGAAAGACATTGAAATTTTTATAGCTTTAGGTGGTAGGTCACTGACACATGAAGACTGATACACTGACACTAAACATAATAAATAATACTATAAATATTTATTAAAATAAAATTGTTTATAAGAAATAAAACTATAATATTTATTCAAAAATAAAACTATATGAAACCTAGACTAAAAGAAAGTCATAAGTCTAGTTTCTGAATTTCATAATTTTCTCCATTCTTACCAGAATAGCTGCAACCTTCAATCGAACCATTTCTTCAGCGCATTCTTCATCATCATAGCACAAGAACAGAGCCCATGGTTTGTAGAAAGTCATTTCTTTAAGCTTAATTTGAGATTTCCAGCTATCAAAAGTGACTGGAAGCACAGGAATATGCAACATCTTTAATACGTGACTTTCCATGGCTTCAGCAGTACGTTCACCATTGTATCTTTCTCTCTGAAACATTTTAAATTCAAGGGCAATTACATGTAAATAAAATACAACAAAATAAATAATTTTATTGTCTTCTATGGTTCATGACCAACCAATCATTCATAATTTTATTATAATTTTTAATATTTACAAAGGAATGAGTAAATATACACAATAATATATCACATTAACGGGTATTGCGTAAGTTCAATGTTCAGAATACGGAATTTCCAATTTAACATTTCCGTATATTATCCATTAATAAGTAAAGACCAAATAAATAATTTTTTTTTCTTCGCAGAATTCAAGATAATAAAATGAATATTTCTAACTCAATAAGCTTTTTCGTCGTTTCCCATGACCCATTGAGCAAATGCTGGGACTACCCCTTATTTTGCTTCTGGGCATAAATGTATCTTCACTACCTGTGCACATTTTCTTGAAAAGTCGAAAGTACAGTTACTAAAATAATCGTTCGTGCTCCATGTTCTCACGGCAGAAAAGCAGAGCAAAAATATGTAGCTCATTTGCCTTTGCAATTTTTTTTACACGAAAGCGAATATTTATTATCAAAGCATGCCAGATGTGCTTGTTACAGACCATTTTTCAGAATTCCACTTGGCCTATCAAAGACCGAACCAATGAAGTTTATCACTATGACGCCGTTACCACATAAATTGACGGCCCAATGTGTTTAAGCATTCGGGTCATTTTCGTCCGAGTAGCACTCGTTTCTACCAATGTAGATAATTCATTTAATTATATAGGGAGAGCTATCAGATCATTAGGTATGCAAGTGTTGAAGGATGTCGCTTCATCCATGGATCAAACATATTGGAATATTTTTTAGATCTAGAAAAAGCTTCTCACGTCATTGACCATAACATTTTAGCCCAAAATTACCTTTGTATGGAATTCGTGGTATTGTTCTAGATTGGCAAGTTTGTACGTTAAACAACGATATCAAAGAGTAGAAATACAGTATTGGAATATTATGGGATATTATATACACACCGCGTTTCAATGGCAATTCCACATGGGGGACCGTAGGGTTCAATTTAAGGCCCCCTTCTCTTCCCGCTATAAGTAGACGATACACCCTCGACGATTCGAAATGGAAGAACCGTTCTCCAAGTGAATGATACGAACATTCATTGCGATAAAGAAACCGAAAATAGTACAAAATCAGATGTTACAAATAGTTCCGTAATAAATTAATAGAAAACGAAGGGAAAACTGTTTCGCAACGTTTCCTTTTAAAACACACTTCATACATGAACCGACATTCTATTTAAAATGTACGATGCTCATTTCACCAATTTTAAAATAAGAATTCTGTTTCTCTCAAATCAGGCAAAACTCTAATGGGATGTCTATTTAAATGACTTGAACACAAAATTAAGTTCACCATGCTTTGCGTTCATAATTCTTTCAAATTCAGTGAACCTTCATACTGCTTGGTACTGAGCCTTCATACTGCTGAATATTTCACGAATATTCATTCCCACCCGACATTTGGCGTAATATCCTGGTAAAACACATACTATAGCTCCCGGACTTTTAAATTAAAAAAAATATATAAATAATAAGCAGTTCCCAACCACGTGATTCTTGTAAGCCTCTCTCTGCGAATTTTAGCAAAACTTCGCCTCTTGATTAACCAATCAGTAGGTTTAGTCAAAAGAACTTAACTCAGGGTGGGAACAAATTTCCAGCAAATACCGATGTCTGTAACTCTTAACACTCGACGTAATCAAATTAATCAGGTACAGTATCAACAATTCACAACAAAAAATTCTCAGACATATACATTATCTTACATTGCGAAATGGAAATAAGCGATTCAAAAGTTACAGTGCCAAGTAAAATCTATTGTATAACACGCCGTGCGCGAAACGCGATTTTTCGTGCTTGTTTTCCGTGTGCGAAATGGCTAACTTTTTCGGTGTGCAAAACATTTGTAACGATTCGCAATTGTCTTTCGTCTTGACATCGCCTTTGTTTATTATTTACAAACAATAGTGTTACGTCAGTGACAGGAATTCATTTAGTTTTGAACACGGTGTAACTGCGTTCACATAACACGGGCGGGAGGTGATTCTCGCACTCGTCTCTGTCGTGCGAGCGTAGCAAGGACGACAAACTTGATTCGTGCGTGAACCACCTATTTCGCGCCCTAGTTCCGTAAACTAATATTCTGCTGCATAACTCTTTCTTTACAATTAGTGATTACGCTGATCATCAAAAAGGAAAGTAATTTCGATTTTACCATGCTATTTAATTTAATAGTTACGATTTGAACGGTATAATTCTATAAGACGAAATAATGTGTAACAAGGATTGTCCACCAGCTTCAGTGGGAAATATAAAGACGTACACATATATTGAAGGTATATTTACGATCACAAGCAAATCTAGGGGCCATCTCAGCATTTGCTCAAAGGATCAGGGAAACTGGGCAAAAAACCTAATCGCGATTGACCCATACCATTTCGCATATATTATTTTCATATCAAACAGAAATTAAATAATTCTGACAGGGTCTGGGGGACTGCAGCCCGCAGCCCACCCCCACCATACGCCACTGACAGTGGGGGTTGGCTGCGCCTTCCCTATCCTTGTCCATTATTCAATTTGTTTGGTATGAAGATAAAATAATAGTACATCTTTCAATTGCAAGACCCATGTAGCCCATTGCTGGTGCGTGAATAAGCGGAAAGCTTTCGCTGAGTTCTGCGGTTCCAAGTATAGGCATAGTTGATATCGCTTCCCGCGCTGTTTATGTTGCTCAATATTGGGACTCTGGGGGCTGCAAGAATGGCAGTCCCTGTTTCTCGGGAAGTTTACACGATTATTAAGGCTCTGATGGACATACGATATAGTTAAGGTGCTTTATATTGTATTTTTATATTTTTTTTTACTTCCTCGTTACCAATTAGAGAGAACTGTAATGATGCGCGAAAAGGCAAATTTGGGACAGAAAACCCTTTATTACAAGGCCCTCGTACCGAAAAAGAGGGTAAATCAGTTTGCTATATATAGAAATAAAAATCCCTTAACAGGTGGTGTAGCCAGAATCCATGCTTTGTAGATCCTTGATACCGAAAAATCGAACGACGGTAGTCGACGAAAGTCGAACGTCGCTAGCGACTAAACCGTTCAGCTGATTTTCTCCAAAAATGATATTTCTCAATCGACCTAGCTGATGCATTTCAATTTTTGGGGGTACTTCATATGAAGCTCCTGGGACATTTTCAATTTTAAAAGTAGCTCCATCGTTTTTAATTAAATTTCGTTGTTGGATAGTTAAAAGAATGCTCTGGTCTGATTTTCGTTAAAAATTCAGATTTTCAAAAATTGAAAAAGTTCCAAAATTGATTAGGTGTCATCCTAGAACTAAAATATTGAAGAGAGATTTTTTAGTTATTGAACCCTCTTCCCTAAAGACAGATTTTGAAATAAGGCCAAGTACCATTTTTCGAAAATTTTGATACTTTTCGCGTAATTTTACTTGAATGTCCGGTGGAGAAAGTACGTGCTGTTTTAAAACCACTAGTTCGTGTTTAGAATGGTTTCGAATAGCAATTCTGTTTAATATTTAGAAACTTAACTCAAGGAAAGTGCAGTATGAAACCTCGCGGTGGACTTACTCGGTATTGAATCTACAGTACCTCAATGCATTTTCTATTTTTGCATGCAATCCTCCTATTAATTAAAGGCACCAGTCGCCACTGGAAATATATAAACTATATACCAAGTATCGTTCCCTATGTACTCGCGAGAAGAGGTCGACTCCTTCACGGAAGGAATTACGAGGGATAATAACCCAAATCTACAGCTGCTTTGGCTTTGTAAATAGTTATTACGCCGGGTCACATATTTTATTTTCAATTCTTCCCAAAACCACCCATTTCTTCTGTATTCAGAAGTCAACTTGTATGCGGGTTAGGGTAGGAATTCCAGAATTTAAGAAAACATTTCACAGATTGCTTTATACACAGAATACATTTCTCCCATTCTTTCCATAGGATGTCACAAACAGTTTTTAACTTTTTTACGTTAAGTAAATAAGAAGAGCATTTCTTACTACGGGAAGTGGCGGTGATCCTCTCCCGCTGGATGGCGAACTCTACACGTTGTACAAGCGACCTACACACGTCGGCCTGGGTGGTTTCCCTAACCAGGTATCTCTCACCGCGAGGCACCGACTCGCAGGGACGAACTCTACACATCCGATTGTTCCCCCGGCGGGTGGTAATGTACTCCATGTCAGCGTGTGCATAAGTAATAGGTGAGAATAGGACCAGGAAGAGGAAGGATAGATTTTGCGCGGTCCGTTTGTTAGGGTACTGCTCCGGCGTTCGTCTCATTTGATTGGAGAAACCATAGGAAACTACTGATCAGAGCAGCCGGGATATAGAATTCTTCTCCAGACATCGGCAGAACTCGACCTAGGTCTAATCGCGCAACATCCCTTGATCGATGATTTTACTTCCCCCTCACAGGCACAATAAACACTTGAAGGTAAATCTAGCAGCGAGCACTGATGACATCATTTCAAACACGTATTTACTGGCGCGAAATACAAACTATTTTCTCTTCACCTTCGGTCCGCGATTTTCTCAAAAAAATGTAAAGAAATGACCAAAGCAGGTGAAAATCCGTCACAGGAGATACCTCGAACTCCTTAGAAAGTTGCGAAGGCATGATTGATTCTCCAGAGATTGACAATATTTCATAAAATCTAGCGGCCGATTTTAACGCCGATGAACTAATACTCCACTCTACCGGCATTTCTTCAATCCATCGGACAAGAACAGTTGCGCGAGTAATTGCATATACACTAAGTGATCAAAAGTATCCGGACACGACCAAAATGGTGTTAGGGTGTGGTCATGTTTTCAATTGAGGGGGCTTGCACCCCTGGTTGTTTTGTGTGGCACTATCACGGCACAGGTCTATGTTAATGTTTTAAATACCTTGCTTCCCCACAGTTAAAGAGCAATTCGGGGATGGTGATTGCATCTTTCAACACGATCGAGCATCTGCACAGCCTGTGGCGGAGTAGTTACGCGACAATAATATCCCTGTAATTGACTGGCCAGCACACAGTCCTGACTTGAATCACATCGAACACCTTTGGGATATTTTGGAGCGCCGACTTCGTGCCAGGACTCACCGACCTACATCGATACCTCTCTTCAATGCAGCTCTCCGTGAAGAATGGGCTGCCATTCCCCAAGAATCCTTCCAGCTTTTAATTGAAAGTGTGCCTGCGAAAGTGGAAGCTGCCATCAAGGCTAAGGGTAGGCCAACACCCTGTTGAATTCCAGCATTACTGATGGAGAGCGCCACGAACTGGTAAGTCATTTTCAGCCGCTTGTCCGGATACTTTCGAGCACATAATGTATCTACACATGTCTATATGTGATACAGTAGCGCCTAAGCCATGCGTAGATTTTTTTCCAAACTGAAGAACCGCTGTCCATTTGTCTCGATTCGAAGCTTTGAAATTTTGGAAAACTTTCTTTAAAATTTGGTGGTACTTTACATGAAGCCCACTGAACATTTTCAAATTTTTAACAAAAGCGACTGTAAATTCTTCCTTTAAATTTCTTGTGAAAGTAGAGAAACATACTCTCATAAAGGTGGCATAGGTCCGATTACCTCAGTTAACTTTTAATTTTCGAAAATTTCTATTTTATTCGGCATCTTCCTACAACTACAAAATTGAAGATAGAGATTTTTTTCCTTCAAGTGAAATTTGTTCTACATAGTGAGTTCTTTCATTGTCATGTAACCTTTTTGAAATTCACGCCTTTAATACGTACAATTCCAGCAAATTGGTTAACACTGTTATAATATTTCACTGGAAGTGCTAGAAATGACTTCACATGAAGTTTCTCGAAAACTCAATATTTTCTGTGAAAAGAGGTTCAAACATCGAATTTACAGTAGCACTTAAGCACCACTTTCTTAGAAACGGCTCCAAATGTTTCAAAGAATATTGCCATTTAGGACGAGGTTTTACTGTTTTTTAATATTCTTACAATAATATTTCCGTCCTGTTATTAAAAAAAATGTAAAATTAAGAAAATTTCAAAAACAAAAAAAAATAATATTTGAGCGACGATAGATGGCAAGAATCTGTGGCAAGTCCGAATATCTAGCCGACGGCAAAATGTCGAAAACTCTGCCGCCAGGCGCGGAACCGCAGAACCCCTCGGTCGGGGGGACTGCAGAGACACCGATCTACGCTGTCACACAGAGCAAGGGCTACCAACTTACCGCGGGGTACATGATGAGGGACGGGTAGGAGTGGACGCCCTCGCGGCGGCACAGCACCCAGTCCTCCTCGCAGTTGACGGCGCCCACGCGCACCACGCCCTGCACGGCGCGCGCCAGCCGCCGCCACGCCGGCGCCACGCGGTGGCAGTGCGAGCACGCGCCCGAGTAGAAGTTGATGAACCACAGCGCGGGCGAGTTCACCACGCTCTGCTCTGCGCACACAACACGGCGCCGCGCGGCGCGGCGCGTCAACGCTACTGATTGACGCGGCACCCGCGGGGCACTCGACAGATCCGGCAGGACAGCCCCATTACACATTTCAACATTACCAAATACAGACTTCATTCCCGATTGACGCTTGTTAATAATAATAATAATAATAATAATAATAATAATAATAATAATAATAATAATAATAATAATAACAACAACAACGCCGATCCGGTGGCTGAGACCGCTAAGGCAGCAGTGCCGTAGTGATCTCGGACCGAAGGGTGGCGGGTTCGAGTCCCGCCTCGGGCATGGTTCATTGTGATTGTCCCTTCACCTATCATCATCCTTTCATCTCATAATTCACACTTCAAGGCGTAACCACCTTGTAGTAATCCAAGGATACAGCTGAAAAGCTGATCCTGGAAGAATTACACAAGTTAATCGTGTAGCGTGGTCAGTAATGTCCTACACGCCAATAATAATAATAATAATAATAATAATAATAATAATAATAATAATAATAATAATAATAATATATTTAAAGTTTGGTTGTCAATCATGTCAAAAATCCCTATTCAAATTTATTTTTCTATGATAGAAGTCAGGAACAGTATAAAAACAATTCCATGTTAAAGAGCATTAACATAATGTTTAATACTTGAAGTAAGAGCTCCTAAGGAATCGTTGAACAGATCAGCATCAGAATGAAAAACAAAATTATTAATTACTTCAATTAATTTATATATTTTAGTTTAAACAGAGTTGTGCAGTTCAAATCTGATACTATGTAAAATTGCTTCTGATTGTGCAAATTGAACTGAGAAACTGTCAGCGAGATCTGTGATGGTAAGTAAAGAGAATAAATAATACTTTGAATTATTTTAGTTATACAATACATTAATTTATCCAAAACAATTACCATATACTAACCACATCACAGCCAAAAGCATGTACCTTTAAAAATATTGTGAACAAGATTTCTCCAAATACAGATATTCAACACACTTTTTTCTTTAAATTTTTGCTCCAAAACTTCGAAAATAGCACATGTTCAAATCTTTTCAAACCTGGCCTACACCTTCATTACTGAAGTTAGAGAATTTTTTTCTCAATGCAATCTGTAACTCTAATGTCAATTTCAATGATTTCTGGTAAAGGGTTCGGCAAAGTTTCTGGCAAAGGATCATTAGGTTTTTGTGTAATTTTCATGTCAAAACACACTTATTTACCAAAACTAGGAGTACATGAACAGGATTTTCTCACAAACGGTTCCAAATTTTTCATTAACTTTTTGATAAGGTACACTGCAAAAAGCAAGTATATTGAAGTGTAACCAGTAACATTGGGAACAAAGGAGTCCACAGACACGTTTCAGAGCAATGAAAACTCATAAGTTCAAAAGAAATGAAATTAACAAGTGATTATAATATTGTGGCCAATATTGTATTGTTTCAAACAAACAGATAACACAGCAGTTACTACGTCAAGTTCATAAATCTACACTCTTAAATTGAAATCTCAGCATACACAAACATTTTTGTGGTTGGGAAACACTTGCAAAGGCATACCCTGGACCAACAAGGAGATCCCAAGCAAAGAAAACCACCACACACACGAAAATATACAATCAAGAACAAGGGGGTGAAAATTTCACATGGGTTCAGATAGTATTACATTTCACAACAATTGCAAATAATATGAGTAAGTACATGCAGTTGTAGCATCACTAATTATAACTTTGAAGCCAACCATTTTTATGAAGAAATGGGAGAGGGGAGACGAGAAAGGAAGGAAGAAAGGAAGTCTTTAGTGAAATTTAACCTACTGAAGTACTTTGGATCTGCCCCTGTGTACAACTTTACAACACTTACCGAAATCTGCTCGACTGAGAGTAATTATTTCTGGATCATCATCATATATTCCAAAATTGTCTTGATAATAACTCCATGAATGATAATTCTGATGCTTATTTTCTTTAATGCCTTCCTCACCATAAAGATCATACTTCTTTCGTAATTCTTCATCTTTCAGTGTTTCATAAGCCTTTGTCAACTGAATAAACACACTTTGTGCGTTTGGATCATTCTGTTGAAAATAAAAACACAAGATAAAAACAGGACAATTTTAGTTCAAGAACAAATAATTGAATCTGCACCTGAATTTAATGAAGATTCACAAGTTTTTTTCTTCTTTTTTCTAAAATAAAAGAAATCTTTACGTAAGTGTTAAACAGCAGTGGACTTTGCGAATCCAAACAAATAAAACATTTCTCTAAGTTATTTATCATTACAATGATGTACAGTTAAGAAAAAGAAAAGAAAAACAAAAAACAAAGGCACAAGATAAAAAATTCAAATCTAAAATATCAATATTAAAAAAGGTAAAATTTGATATTTCAAAAAGCTTGTAGAATAAAACCACCCTAGATTGAAATTCACACTTAACACTAATTTCATTTACTTCATCAAAAACAGTAAAAAAATTCACGAGAGAAGTATAATTTTTGCACATTTTCTTGAGATACAGAATCTCTTCAAATCCTATTGATACACTTTTACTGTTTTTCACATTTGTAACTGAAATAAAGAGTAAAAAATGTTAATTTTTGCTCTCAATTTCTACTTAGCATCATGGAAGCAATTACTTGTTTATAAAGTGACAAATCTCCATTTGAACAAAACCACATGAAATGGTTTTCCAAAACGTAGCACACACACTGCTCAAGAACAAGACTAAAATATTCTTGTATAACACTGCAAAAAATTAGATATTTTAACAAATGAATAACATAGAATATTTCGTACACAGTTCTTTACATGCCAAGAACATTAAATAAAAAAAATTAAAAAAAGAACTGCAGTCCTCTAATACATGTGAAAACCAAATATTTAATGGTGGGTGACATCTTCCTTTGATCCTCTCTGCCACATGATATTAACTGTGTTGTAAGCAGTGACACACTGAGTAAAAGAATTCCATCAGTAGGCACAATATGAGAATAGACGATATAACATAATCAAAAAATTGGCATGTTTCAGTGAAAATCCAAATTATCATTGTTTTTGGATTTTTCTTGAGTGTCAGGGTATCCAACAAATTCATAGATAACTCTGACATGGCTAGATTGCATAGATTTTTGTTTTTTTTCAATTTCCACGTCCAGTAGAAATTAGTTATAAAGAGTTTTTAAAATATTTTTCACAGGGTTCCTGGGTATCTAATGAAATTTGTAAAACAGATAGTAAATAGAAATCAATAGAAATGAATAGCAAAATTAATAAATAATAGTATTAATTTGTTAAAAAATAGTCATTCGTAATGAAGTGGCAACGTAGATATCATTATATTTTTATGATGATTTTCTATCATGCTGACAAATTTTGTGTTAAAAAGTTGTGTTCCTCTTCTTTATTATTTACTTATTTATTTATCATAATATTAAAATATTTATTTATTTATTTTATATAATGAAAGCCAAGCAGGAAATCCCAATTATAGAACTATACCCAACTGAAATCTAACATCATGGCATACACATAGAAAGAGATAAAATTATAAGGATAGAACAGAACATTAGAAAAATTACTGCATATTAATGAGATATTTGTTCATATTGGCAATTAAAGACAAGATGGAATCAAATACTATGTAGACAATACAGGACACTTTGAAACTATCTCATACTTTTAACAGGAGTTAAGTGTTCACTAGCAAACCTAGTGACATTACCTGGAAAATCAGCGACTAATTCAAATTTCAATACATGTACAATAACGTTTGAATCACTCTGCGAAACATAAACGTAAGTAAACTAAAAATCTTTCAAACTCATATACTTTGCTCTTGATATCACTATGGTTATGACTGGTCAGGCCAAAAGGGTTGCTAGCTTCTAGTGTCTCCTGTTATATTGCCAAGTGTCCTGTACTGTCTCTAATGAAATCAACAAAGATAACTACATCTGATACATCGCTAACTAAAAAATATAGTAGTTGATTCAATCATTTGAAACAGTCTGTGAGAATGACTATTGTACTTGGGAATCAAGAACGCAACTTCTAAAAGTAATTGTGAACAATGTATTATGTCTTGAATTAGTTTTTTTCAGAAAAACAAATTGGTTCAAATGCCTCCTACTCTCAAGACTTTGAAAATTGAATTTTGTATGGAGATTTGTGTTGTCAATTCCCTGTAGTTGACATCTTCTCACATTTATAAATTATAAATATATTGCAAACCACCGTTGACAAGAGAGTTAATCATTTCTACTTTCTCTGGAGCCCAAAGGACTGATGCATATTCTATTTTGGATCTCACATAAGAATAATATAATACTTGTAAAGATTTCTTCTTATTAAAATTCCTCCCAAGTCTCAGTAACTGTCCCAAAGTTTTATTGGCAGAATGTGCCTAATTCTATGTGAGGTTTAGTAGTTAACTGCCCAGCAAACAAAACACTTAGATCTTTCTTTAATTTAAGACTTTCAAGAATCGTTTCATTATTTTATATAAATATTGAAATGGATGATGTGTTGCCCTGAAAAAATCACATGACTTGGCATTTATTATTATTTATATTAAATTGCATCTGAAAACTGTTGAATCTTATCTTGAACTAAAAGGCTGAAAGTGTAGAGGACAATCCTAAAACCTAGATCACGCAGGGGCTAAGGCCTATCAAGTTAAAAAATTCCAAATTATCCAGAGGATGCGGGAAAAACGATACAAAAGAAGAACATGAGCTTACCAAACATATGTTTAATGGGGTGTAAAAATAATTATCAGCATACTTTCAACAAAAAACATACGTATTTACACTGTACACAATATTTATCGGTACAAACTAGTGGGTACTAAGTACGCCCAGGGCATTGTCTGGGCCTCTTCCTCCCCTCCTCTTTGTGAGAGGCCTGTTGATGAAGGGTGAGAAAGGGAAGGAGAGGGATGGCAGGTAAAGTGAGGGCAACGAACTCAACCATTGGCAAGTCAATTCCAGTTATATACCTATCGAGAATAGTGATTTATCGTCGGCAAAACAAAACTTCATTTACTATGCTAAACACCTATCCCCCCCAAAAAAACTGGACCAGGTTTACAAGGTTTTTCTGTACTCTGCCTCTCTGAAAAATTGGGATTCAAGGAGATATGTCACTTTCAAAATAAGGTCTTTAATAAAAAAAAATTATACTGAGTGAGAAAATCTCTTCTACTCCACCACTCAAAAAACAATCTCTACATCGATTTCAAGATCATTTTACATCAACTTTCACATTTACTTTGTTTCTTTAACAACTATCAGAAGACATTTGATCAACTCATAATAGTGTTTCACTACTCCTATACTACTTAATGTATAAAAGTCAGTACTTGTGTTTCATACTAAACTTGACATCATACTTCAAAGTACAACCAAATATAATTTATTAAAAATATTTATTACAAATATTCTTAATTAAAATATTTTAAACATGTTCACATCTGACAGCGTTCACAAACAACAAAATCTTTTAAAAAACACTGAAACACACCCAAGACAATTTTACTCATTTTAATACTATTATTTCATTAAACTACATGACTACAATATGAGAAACGTTTTTACTGTACTATCAGCCATATGTGGTTCACAAAAGTTATCAGTTGATGGTTTAATTTCACAAATGTAAGTAGTGGATGAATCACAGACATTTAAAATTTATTTGGCAAATATTTTAACTGAACTTGCCATAGCTGCACAGATTTAGATTTGGACTAGTTGGGATGGTTATAGAATTTTGAAATACACCAGAAAATGTCTCAAATACACCCTGCGGAAAATTATTTTTATTTTTGAGAAAATTACAATAAATTTATTATTATTCACTCACTTAGATGTACGGATATATTTTGATGTTTTGATTGGGACAGGGAATGTGTTAATAATATAAACAAATTTCAATCTTGAATTCAAGAGAAGATGAAAAAAAGAGAAGATAAAATAAATTGAGATATATTTATTTTATCTTCTTCTCTTGAATTCAAGATGTAAAATCAATTCTGTTGTGTAAATGTTTCTATAGAATTAGAGACTATACTGGCCATCAAAAATAAAAATTATTATTTATATAAACAAAGTAAACATGCCAAAGTATGATGTAGTTTAATAAAATCACAATAATGTATAAGTGTAAATAAATCTGAAAGTCTAAAATTTGATGAGAAACTGTTTTTTATTAATAAGACTACAGAGATTCATCAAGCAAAGAAGTGAACAGTTTTTACTATTCTTCTATAAAAATAAATTAAATTAAATTAAATCAAATCAAATATTACAAAGACATGTCAATTTAAAACATACACGAACACTATTGAGGATAAAAATGATAAAATAACCTACATGGCTATCATTTTATTTAAGCAAAAACTTTTCTTTAGAAATAAATAATAGAAGTACGTTATACATACTAATACTAAAAGAAAATTTGAAAAGGGTGACCTCACTGAAAAGAATGAGAGTTGTGAGACAAAGTTGGATAGAGCATCACATCTTTTTTTTTCATTTTATGTAAATTTAAACTATTCAAATTTGAAAATATAAATAATACCTTATTTTTATCAGGATGCAGTTTCACTGCCAGCTTTTTGAATGCTTTTCGAATTTCTCTGTTATTGGCACTTTTTGCTACTCCCAACAATTCATAATAATCTTCTCCCGAACAAATAGACACCAATAACACAATAAAAATCAACCAATGTTTGAAAGTAAACCTGAAATTAAAGTATGAAACTTGAAATAGAGGTTATGTTAAGCCGAAATGAACACATCATAATTACCGCCCTCTTACATTGTGCACAAATGTTTTTTGACACCAAAAGCACCGGTACAAACACATTCAAACATATTAAAATTCACGTTTTGACATCTGTTTAAAGGAAACCTGCCATCTCACACAGCCATAATCAAACCTTTTCATATTTTATGTTGGTACCGGTTGGCACTCATGTCATCAGAAAACAAAATTCAGGAGCTATACTTCGATAAAAATATGAAGTCCATTGACACTTGACTAACTGGCACTGTCATCCAATCGGAAGCTTAAACGTCACTGCAATAATACAAGTGTCAACCAGCTGATCAAGTGTAAACGGACTACTGTTTTAATCCAAGTGTATACTCCGATTAAAAGGTAGCGAAAATATGACAGCGATCAGCTAGAATGCGATTTTATAGCTTCGTGTCGTGTCCTGACTGGGCGTGTCCTAGAACGTTGGCAGCGAAGGAAAGTGTTAATCCCCACACTAAGCTTTTTCCATACATATTTATAGAAAAACTGAATTAATTGGGAGGATGTGGGAAAGACAGTCGCAAAGTAACAACAATGAGGATGTTGTTGTTTCTTTGCAAAATAATGCAATTTAAAGTTAAAAATACTTGCTCGACATTGTTTCCATCCTTCGGTTGTCGTTTTAAAAATGAAATTCATAATTATTATGAGGTTAGGACATGGTCGCCAATATTAATTACTCGTTTCTTTTCTTCATATGAAAGTAAAGAAGCAATTATTGAAAAACTTTTGTACTACTTTTTCACTATCCATATCCACTAGACTCGTTCTCTTCGTTGGAGTCATTCGCCTACGGCCTAAGCTGCGCTCCTTCCAACACTGCCTGCGTTACATGGACGCACTGATGGCGATCTAAGACGCCGATTGCACGGAAGACGAAATAAATGAAAAAATCTTAATACCCCCCCCCCCCAATTGATTGTTTTTAATTTCCTGTATCGTTGACACACGACTTGCACACCCAAAGAAAACGGCACTGCTTCCTTGCAACTTAATTTTTCAGATGGAAGCTCCCGATTGGATCACTACGTCCCAGATGATCAAAAGTCAATTCGACGTACGTTTTAAGTAGAATAAAGCATCCTCCTGAAATAATTTCCGAGCCCAGAGACCTCTGTAACAACCTCATGATTGGCAGTATAATAACACTTTAATCGGTATTGTTGGCATTTTCAGAATATCACTGTGGGCGACATTGTGTTTGTAAGAGGAACTCACTCGCAAGACCCCTGATATTGCAAAGTTGTTGAGATTATGTATGCCATTTGTATTGTAAACATTTTCGATGAAATAATATACAGTATTAATAAATAATTAAGTAAAAGACTGACAAAGGCAAAAATAAGACAAATGGCAAAAATAGGAATGATAACCTAAAGTAGGCAAAAAAGGCAAAATGTAAATCCACTAAAACTATTTTAAAAGTACAAATAAGTGATTCATATTGTTATAAGTTATAAAATACCAACAACGACCAAAAGGCATTATTCCAAACTTCCGGACATTAATGTTATAACATTAATTTGCAGAACCACCACTTTTTGAAAGCCCCTCATACGTTCTCTGAAAGCAAGCAAAAGTTGGGCTGTGGAGAAAGGAGAACTGGGCGAAACCACTTGCGGGAAGGTGCATACGTTCAAGCACAGGAAACCATAGTTGGGAAGTGGGAAGAGGGAAACTGGGCGAAACAACTTGCTGGAAGGGACATGCAATCTTGAAGTGCAAACCAAAGTTGGGCTTTGAGGTGTCGGGCACAGCATTTGGGAGAAGGGGCTCGCGTTCTTGCAGAGCTAGCCAAAGTTGGGTAGTGGGGAGTGTGCAGACACATGGTGGAAAGGACACGCGTTCTTTAAGAGTAAGCCAAAGATCGGCTGTCAAGAGATGAGGCCTGGGCGAAACCATTTGGGCGAAGGGTCATGCGTGTTTGCGGAGCAAGCAAAAGTTGGTCTGTGGGGAGAGTGAAACTGGGTGAAAGCACTTAGAGAAAGGGACATGCTTTTTGCAGAGAAAGCGAAACTTCAACTGTGGGCGAAGAAGACTGGGCGAAACCAGTTGGGGGAAGGGACATTCGTGCTTGAAAAGCAAGCAAAAGTATGCAGTGGGTAGAAGAGAACTGGGCGAAACCACTTGGAGGAACATACGTTCAAGCAGAGCAAGCAAAATTAGGCTGTGGGGAGAGGGGGACTGAATGAAACCACTTGGGGGGAAGGGACATAGCTTCAAACAAAGCAGACCAACTCCAGGGAGAGGAAAACAACTTGCGGGGACAGGCAATCTTGAAGTGCAAACCAAAGTTGAACTGTGAGGTGCCGGGGACTGGGCGAAAGCACATAACTCTATTTTACCAATCATATAGAACATTTGCTCGCTATAGTTATTGGCGCTCTCAGTCCATGGTTTTGAAATCGCATAATCACTGCCAACCCTATTCGGTACCACAGATAAAGAAACAAATTTATTCTCACCTCGAACCACAAACACTCGACGATCAAACACAAAAAATCAAGAGTGCAAGAAACGCAATTGTTCAAAAGAAACGTAGCTAATTACTTTGTCAGAAACCTCAACCTACATAAAAATAAAATTACCGCTATACAACTTTCGCTTCATCAGTACTCTCTCCGTCCTCCCCTTTCCCAGGAAAAACGTTACAGAATGTTAAAAAAGATCTTATTCTGTAGATTACGGTGTGGGAAACGCTTTAGTTATTAATCCTCTAGAAAACTATGTTTAGGCGTTATTCAACGATATAGATTCAAAAAATCCTGCAGTGTGTGTTGCGGGTCGCATTTTAAATGAATATTTCGTTTTGGTCTACAGCGCCAGCTAGTGAATTTTCCCGATAATTTAATACCTATTCTGCTATTTGGGGCGGAGAAGAATCCAACAAATGAGAGATAATTAAAATTGGTCTAGCCGTTCTTCAGTTATAAATGCTGTAACTATCCCGACTTTGTTACACACACACACATACATTCATATATATATATATATATATATATATATATATATATATATATATATATATATATATATATATTGTGTCGAACGCGAGCGACTACGTTCGTCCCACACATCAAGAAAACGCCAGTGATAGACTGGGTGAGCGAGCACAGCGCGGTTTGAAAAGGGCGCGCAAGCAGCCTACAATGCTGTTGCGCGCCATGTCCGGAGCAGGGCCCAGGAATATAACGTAGCAGCAGTCAGCTGGAGAGGGGGAGATGACACGCACTACCCCCACACGGAGGGCGCGTGCATAGAAAGGCGAGCCCGCAGTCAGCCACTCTTTTTCGTTCCTGATCTTGGAGCCAGCAGCACTCTCTCCAGTGCTTGACCGCCGATCCAACATCAACTTCGCCGCGTTACTAGCCAGCCATTACTAGATAGCCATCCGCGAATTATGTTAGAATTTTCTGGAAGAAAGTATTTCTTCAGACAAGACGCGGGGAGTTAATCTAATGTAGCATTTACTATGGAGCTAAGGACAATACAATAGGGAAATAGTTCGGACTGAGATCAAGACCAATTTCAATCAGCGGTGACATTTGGGACAGTGTGAGCGAGAGCAACGCGTATGCCCAAGTTCAATGTATTACAAGGAATATTCGCACGCGGCCATAATCAGAAATATCGAGACGAAGCAGACGAGGAGAAAACGATCCGGGATGAGAAGACCGGACGACAACGCAGAAAGCGACGCGGAAGACGATGCAAGATGTCAGCGAGAAGTCACCGGCGACCCGGGGCCTGCGATCGGCTGCGCGGAGGCCGAGGTGCTTCAAGGTCGAGCGTTAGAGCACGGAGGACACAGCTGCGGGAGGTAACGATGAAATTAGGTCAAAGTCACCTCGGTCAGGGAGAACTTGTTAACCAGGCAATTGTGAGGGAAATAAGCAGACAGGAGGCTGAGTATTATTCAGAGATTCTTGCTATTTTAAAAGCACTATTGTCTACGAAACTGAAAATAGATCAATATTAATTTATGTTGTTCGCAGTCTCAGCAAAATTGTTGTAGAGAGTGTGGTGAATCTGCACACGTTTTTTGTAGTAAAGTTATTTGAATTGAGTGTTAAATTGTATATTCGTCATTGGTTAATACAAATAGGCATTGTAGCAAATTTAACACACACACACACACACACACACACACATATATATATATATACTATTATATATTATATATATATATATATATATATATATCTATATATATATATATAATCACCAGCCGCCACGTTTTTTGACCATTTGTTTGACACGTATGGGGACACATTTGAGCTCCAACTGAATTATTATACTTTTCAGCTTATACATTAATAACAATGCGTGTGTCGAAAAGGGCTCAATATTCTGCAATTAAATGCACTAATAAGAAAGGGAAGAACCGTGAGTTATGTTTTTTTCTTTACTTTTCCAAAAGAGCTAGAGATGAAAGGTGGAAAGTTGTTGAAAAGTACAACAGAGATATCACCTTCTAGAAATATTACCCTTATTTACTACTTAGATTATTTACATTTCTGGGGTTTTCATGAAATGTAAAGAAATAATTGTTCCTCATCATGATTCCACTACTCACTTTCAATTGACAATATTCATTAGATTTAAAATTATTCCTTTCCTTTAAATATTGTTCAAATGCCTACTTCACTTATTGTTCATTTAGTTACCTTCATGAAGAAATTAAAATTTTAAAAAACATTCACTTTTTGGTCACATTTAGGAGAACAATACTGTAATACGAATGTTAAGACTGCATAGTGTTCCACTGTTCCCTAGATAGATTCCACTCATCGATACATCACAGATCATTTAACATGTAGCTGCGCTTCTGTATAAATACATACATTGGTATAGTATGGTAAAAGCCCTATTCGTCCTTAATACTTATGGTTTACTTCAAGAGATTATTGTCCATTCTTCCCTTTGTGAAACAATAGACTTACTGTAGCGTGCTCATTGAGAACGATTGATTAACTAAATAACTTCATTCCTCACTGATCTCAAGGGTGCATTTGTGATGAAGGTACATTTATGTTCAAAAGCAAAACTAGGGACCATCTTAGTATTTGCTAAAGGATTAGAAGAACTGGACAAAAATCGTGATTGTGATAAGGGTCATTGATCTAGAAGCTTTGGAACAATATTTATTACAAGCATGTTTAATATTTTAAAACCACACAGA